CCTGCTGAAGCTCTTCCCGCACTGGGCGCAGGGGTAGGGCTTCTCCCCGGTGTGAACCCGTTGGTGGATGATGAGGGACGAGCTCTGCCCGAAGCCCTTCCCGCACTCGTGGCACTTGTAGGGCTTCTCCCCGGTGTGCTGCCGCTGGTGCCGCACTAAGATGGACCTGATGCAGAAGCTCTTCCCGCACTGGGAGCACTTGTAGGGCTTCTCCCCCGTGTGGTAGCGTTGGTGCCGCATGAAGCTGGACTTGGTGCAGTAGAACTTCCCGCACTCAGAGCACTGGTAGGGCTTCTTGCCCGTGTCGTAGCGTTGGTGGGCAATGAGGTCCTCCCTCTGCCCGAAGCTCTTCCCGCACTGGTGGCACTGGTAGGGCTTCACCCCAGTGTGCAGCTGCTGGTGCCGCAAGAAGATGGACCTGATGCAGAAGCTCTTCCCGCACTCGTCGCACTTGTAGGGCTTCTCCCCTGCGTGCAGCTGCATGTGCCGGTAGAGCGTCGACCTCCCCCTGAAGAACATCTCGCACTCGGAGCAGTAGTAGGGTTTCTCCTCAGTGTGGGTCCGCTGGTGGATGGTGAGCTGCGTGCTCTGCACGAAGCCCTTCCCGCACTCCTTGCACTTGTAGGGCTTCTGCCCTGTGTGCATCTTCAGGTGCCGGGAGAGGCTGGAGCGGTGGCCAAAGCTCTTCCCGCACTGAGCGCAGGGGTAGGGCTTCTCCCCGGTGTGGGTCCATCGGTGGATGATGAGATCCGTGCTCTGCCCGAAGCCCTTCCCGCACTCGGGGCACTTGTAGGGTCTCTCCCCGGTGTGCACCATCACGTGCTGTTTGAGGTTGGACCTGTTTACGAAGCACTTCAGGCACGTGGAGCACTGGTAGAGCTTTTCCTCCAGGTGGATCCTCTGGTGGAGCTGGAGCTCCTCTCTCTGCTCGAACTCCTTCTTGCACTCCCGGCACTTGTAGCGCCGCGTACTTTCGTGCCCCTGATGGTGCCGGTGGAGCTTGGCTTCGTCCTCAAAGCGTTTCCCGCACTCTTGGCATTCATAGGGTCTCTCCTTGCTGTGGGTCCGCTGGTGGCTGATGAGCACCGACCTCTGTCTGAAGCTCCTCCCACACTCCTCGCACTTGTGGGGCTTCTGCCCCGTGTGGATCCTCTGGTGCCGGGAAAGGCTGGAGCAGTGGCTGAAGCGCCTCCCGCACTCCTGGCACTTGTAGGGTCTCTCCCCCGTGTGAATCCATTGGTGGATGACCATGTCGGAGCTGCGTTGGAACCTCTTCCCGCACTCGGGGCATTTGTAGGGTCTCTCCCCCGTGTGCACCGTCGTGTGCCGCCGGAGGTTGGACCTGCTTGCAAAGCACTTCTGGCAGGTGGAGCACTGGTAGAGCTTCTCCTCCACGTGGATCCTCTGGTGGAGCTGGAGCTCCTCTCTCTGCCCGAACTCCTTCTTGCACTCCTGGCACTTGTAGCGCCGCTTCCTCGCGTGCGCCTGTTGGTGCCGGAAGAGCTTGGCTTCGTCCCCGAAGTGTTTCCCGCACTCGGGACACCCGTAGGGTTTCTCCCTCACGTGGATCCGTTGGTGGATGATGACTTTGGACCTTCGGTCGAAGCTTTTTCCGCAC